GTCAGTCGATGCTGGTGGATTGCTATCGGTCGATGGAAGAAGGCTTCCGTCGGTCGATACGTCTGGTTCTGTCTCATACTCGGCCATGGAATCATACTCGTGGGCACAGAAACAAGTTGCTACGAGTGCTGAGCTCTCTGTCCTTGGAATCTTGATGACTTGAATATGATTGTAGTGGATGGTAGGGTCAATGAGGGTTAGGCAGAGCTTATTGGATTTCAGGTCACAAACAGCTCCAACTGTTGCAAAGAAAGCTCTTCCAAGTAGTAGAGATGTCTTGAAGTTGAGCTTGTTCTCGAGGATGTGGAAGTCGGTAAGAATTAGGGCGTCTCCAATATGTACCTCAAGATTTCGAACTATGCCTCCAGAGTGCTGCTGAGAATATTCCACGAATATGAAAGATTCTTCAGTAGGCTCTATCTTCAGACCTAGATGGTCTGCCATAATCTTGGGTATGATGCTAACTCCAGATCCTGTGTTGCATAGAGCACGAGGGAACTCAAAACCTCTTATTGAACATGGTATTGTGAACTTCCTTGGATCACTATTCTTCTCCAGTGTGATCTTCTTCTTTAGACTGTCTCTGACTTGGTGAAACATTCTCTTGATGTCTTCTTCTGTCTCTCTGGTTTCTCTGAAAAACATCCACAATCTGTGTGAAAAGTAGGCTTCTTCAAAGGGTTTCTCTTTAGGTATTCTCAGAACTCTCTTTCTGAAGCTTGACAATTCTTTCTCATTAGCTTCCCTTTTATAAGGCTTGGGGATCATGTGGGACGTAGACTGGTGCACAGTAGGGGTTGTCGCTTGGTGGTTCGAAACGTCATTTGAGCGATCTTGGTTGGTGCATATCGGTCGATGGAGGGTGGTTTTTGTCGATCGATGCTCTGAAGATGAAGGTCGGTAGAGGAGGTTGTTCTTCATCATCCCAAAGAAATCTATACTGTGTGGCTCGTTCCTCTTCTTAATCTTCATCATACTCCTCCTGAGTAGTGATACTAGCCAGTTCTGGGATGTAATGATCGTTCTCCCAATCATCTTCGTTAAAATCGCTTTTTGGAAACTCCTCTTCGATCTCTTGGAATAGCCTGTCGATCGATGACCATGTATGCTCGTCGGTCGATGCTGGTGGATTACTATCGGTCGATGGAAGAAGGCTTCCGTCGGTCGATACGTCTGGTTATGTCTCATACTCGGCCATGGAATCATACTCGTGGGCACAGAAACAAGTTGCTACGAGTGTTGGGCTCTCAGTCCTTGGAATCTTGATGACTTGAACAGGATTGTAGTGGATGGTAGGGTCAATGAGAGTTAGGAAGAGCTTATTGGATTTCAGGTCACAAACAGCTCCAACTGTTGCTAAGAAAGCTCTTCCAAGTAGTAGAGATGTCTAGAAGTTTAGCTTGTTCTCCAGGATGTGGAAGTCTGTAGGAATTAGGGCGTCTCCAATATGTACCTCAAGATTTTGAACTATGCCTCCAGAGTGCTGCTGAGAACATTCCATGAAGATGAAAGATTTTCCAGTAGGCTCTATCTTCAGACCTAGATGGTCTGCCATAATCTTGGGTAGGATGCTAACTCCAGATCCTGTGTCGCAGAGAGCACGAGGGAACTCAAAACCTCTTATTGAACATGGTATTGTGAACTTCCCTGGATCACTCTTCTTCTCTAGTGTGATCTTCTTCTTTAGACTGTCTCTGACTTGGTGAAACATTCTCTTGATGTCTTCTTTAGTCTCTCTGGTTTCTCTGAAAAACATCCACAATCTGTATGAAAAGTAGGCTTCTTCAAAGGGTTTCTCTTTAGGTATTCTCAGAACTCTCTTTCTGAAGCTTGACAATTCTTTCTCATTAGCTTCCCTTTTATAAGGCTTGGGATCATGTGAGACGTAGACTGGTGCACAGTAGGGGTTGTCGCTTGGTGGTTCGAAACGTCATTTGAGCGATCTTGGTTGGTGCATATCGGTCGATGGAGGGTGGTTTTTGTCGATCGATGCTCTGAAGATGAAGGTCGGTAGAGGAGGTCGTTCTTCATCATCCCGAAGAAATCTATACTATGTGGCTCGTTCCTCTTCTTAATCTTCATCATACTCCTCCGGAGTAGTGATACTAGCCAGTTCTGGGATGTAATGATCGTTCTCCTAATCATCTTCGTGAAAATCGCTTTTGGAAACTCCTCTTCGATCTCTTGGAATAGCCTGTCGATCAATGACCATGTATGCTCGTCGGTCGATGCTGGTGGATTGCTATCGGTCGATGGAAGAAGGCTTCCGTCGGTCGATACGTCTAGTTCTGTCTCATACTCGGCCATGGAATCATACTCGTGGGCACAGAAACAAGTTGCTACGAGTACTGGGCTCTCTATCCTTGGAATCTTGATGACTTGAACAGGATTGTAGTGGATGGTAGGGTCAATGAGGGTTAGGCAGAGCTTATTGGATTTCAGGTCACAAACAGCTCCAACTGTTGCTAAGAAAGCTCTTCCAAGTAGTAGAGATGTCTAGAAGTTGAGCTTGTTCTCCAGGATGTGGAAGTCTGTAGGAATTAGGGCGTCTCCAATATGTACCTCAAGATTTCGAACTATGCCTCGAGAGTGCTGCTGAGAACATTCCACAAAGATGAAAGATTCTTCAGTAGGCTCTATCTTCAGACCTAGATGGTCTGCCATGATCTTGGGTAGGATGCTAACTCCAGATCCTTTGTCGCAAAGAGCACGAGGGAACTCAAAACCTCTTATTGAACATGGTATTGTGAACTTCCCTGAATCACTCTTCTTCTCTAGTGTGATCTTCTTCTTTAGACTGTCTCTGACTTGGTGAAACATTCTCTAGTGAAAAGAAGAAACCCTAGTAAGTTGATGAAAGCTCCACGGACGGAGGCACCTCTTTCCCCTTTCCTCGTTTTCCTTTTGCTCAACTTAGTGGTGTTTCAAGCTTTCTCGACGATATGCACGGTGGATCTGGATCTGATGGAGGTCCGTGGTTTTCAACTCTGTCAGCGGCAGAGAAGAGCTAGGGATAACTGAAGACAAATGTGGAACAACGGCGAGTCGAGTGAAGAGAAGGCTATGGGTTGGGTCGGCGTTTTAGGGTTTTGGTGGTGTTGTTTGATAACCGTTTTCACTTTGGCTCGTTGGCACTCACTGGAGAGGCAGAGGCACAGAGTTCCGTTCGTCCTTCTTCTTGTAGATCTGAAAGCTAGAATTTGAGGGCGAGATTGTATCTCAGCTCTGGTGGAAGTAGGGCGGGGGGGGGGGGGATGGCGCGTGTAGCTGTTTCG